TTTGTTGCTTTCTTTACTCCAGGTAACAGATATGTCACGGTTTCTGTTTGCCTATGGTGGGATGATATGGCAAAGATACTGGATGAAGAGTTTAGACCTCTTGGTAAGTTGAACAAACGATAAGTTGGTAATTTGAACAAACGTTTAGTTAATAAGTTGAACAAACAGTTAGTTGGTAAGTTGAACAAACACTGAGAATTGCGTCAATTACAATCCACCTGAGGGGATTCTTCCTTTGCTTGATTTTTATCCGTAAGTCAAAGGTGATCTATTTCATTTAAAATGGTGATGAGATTCCTTTACGCGAAAAATCAAAGCTCTAAACTGTGCCTCAGTCCTTACGTGGCTTTGTCGGTGACTTAGTTCGTCGTAGCTCGAGCATCTGGGAGGACGGCTTCTCTTTACTGAAATTGCTTAAATTACAGTCTGCTCACGAGGATCATTTGTTTGTTTGATTTTCATTCGCAGGTCAAATGAAATTCATCTCATTAAAAACTGTGACTGAAAATGGTATCGTCATATCGGAATTGAAAATATTCTCTGTTTGAATCCTCTAGAAAACAAAATAGGTCCTATTTTCAGCTTTATTGTTTCCCTTACACTTCTTTCGTGCTCTAGCCACTCCCTGTGTGCTTTACAACAGAGCAGTGCACAATCAAGGCTTCGTTAATCGTTAATTATCACGGTCAACCTCACAAAACCATGGACGTCTACATTGATAGAATTGTCTGTTGTATTGTAAAAATTACACGGGTGACAAGAATATGGTGGTAAACCAAAACCCACAACCCAATTAGCGACACTGCGCATGCGTACTGTTAAGATATCCCACAGTAAGGAACTGGACTCTAACCAGCACATAGCTTTCCTGCAAACGCTGTTCCTTAAGCTTGTTCATTGTCAAGAAGAAGGTTACAAGGCCGGGAAGGACTGGAAGTTAGGGAAATGACATAAGACTATTTGAATCAATATCAGTATCTGGGCAACTACCCACCTACCCCTCCCCTAACCCGACATTAACCCTAACTTGTTATCAATTGACTGTTGTTGAGTTAGGGGAGAGGTAGGTGGGCAGTTGCCTAGACACTGATATTGATCCGACTATTTTCTGGGGTTAAACACGTATTTCCTTGTCACAGGTTACAATGTACCCACTCGAGTGGCTCCAACATTCTTGCTGAAGATTACTTCGTGGTTTGATCCCACAGTGAAGATGATCATACCTGTTCTGAACAAAGAAGTGAGGTTGGACAACAAAAAGGTAACTGTTAGCACCTGAAACTTAGTGGGAGTGTTAGAAAGGTACCTCACGACTGTGTTTATGGTTAATCCATTGAGCTAACTCAAAGAGAAAATCGCCTAAAGAGAAGGATTTAAAATAAAAAAAATTGTCACGGACGTCGACAAAGTAACATCTGAGTCTCCACAAGGACTTGAAGTTTGAGAATTTCCTATGTCGCAATCTCGTGTTACAAGTGACGAAATAAATTGAGAATCTTGACTGATAGACTTCCTTAACAAGATGATTAAATCATTTATCTTTACATTAAATTACATCTTGTTCCTCGCCCAGCCTCTCAAAATTGATGCACACGAGTGAAGTGAATGTTGACGATCAAAAAGATACAACATTGTGTAAAGGGGCTGGGGGTCGCTGATTATACAGTCGAACATCCCTTAGCGACCACCTCTCGTAAGAAACCATGCAGACTTAATACTTTGGGTGGGCGCTGGTGAAAGGTTCGACTCGTAGTTTCATAGGTAGCGTGGTCGATTGATGAGATCGTGCGATTCGCAATCTTGTTCCCTTATCGCGTGAAATTCGTGATAAGGTTAACTCTGTACTAAGGCAAAGTGGTCCATCCAGCTTGAGCGTATCCTGGTTTTCTTAAGCATGAAGCGCCTAGGAGTATTACTGACTTCCCTTAAGATGGGGGAAGGCTACCCCCCGCATTTCATCAGGCTTCCCCAACAATTTGCTAGTACCCATTTATACTCCTGGGTGGAGAGAAACACTGTGAAAGTAAGTTGTTTTGCTCTAGAGCACCACACAATGACCCGGCTCATCTATCTCAAACACTATCCTCACGACCAGCGAACTAATCATGGGGATACCGTGTGTCCCACCCCGCGCCCACTCTTACTTATTCATTTCCTTATTCTTTTTGCTTTCTAAAGATAAAAGAAGATTTTGGATTTCAGTTTCGGGACGAGAAGACAACCATACTTGATATGGGGTACAGTCTTATCGACAGCGGTTTTATCAAAGCAACGCCAAAATATCAGGAAATGAAAACACAGCAGAGCACTGCTTCCAACTAGCTGTAGACGGTCACGCTTAATGATTTCGTTACTGCCTCCGTTGTTCGCAGTTATGATTACGCTGGGTGTCATGTTAGGCTAATTAACGTCGTAGTATAGACATTTAGATTAGATAAAGACTGTCTAACCAAGGCTTTCAAGCCTTTTATGATCATGTGAAACTGTTTTATGTTACGTTGTAAACACTTTTAATTAGACTAGTTATGGAGGATACAGACGGGCTATGAGGCAGTAAGCTCATATTTTTAGATAGAAAATGAGAATCGCCTCATTCAGCCAGTCTTACAACCAAGATAATATTTACTTTTACACTATTTGCACCTTTGACTGCAATATTAAGACTTATTTTACCCTAAGTATAGGCAAAACCCGAATACAAGAATGGTGTTGTTATCGTTTAGACGTCTGCAAGTATATTTTTTAATCGGTAGTTGCCAGACGGGAAAGTAAACAACATGTTTGACTGATGTATATGTGTTTCAAACATCAAATACAAAACAAAAAAGAATTATCTGAGCAAATAGGTCTTCTGATTCGTTTTAAGGGCGCGTCTTCAAGACAAACTATATAAGATAAATCCTAAGCACAGGGTTGTAATTCATTAGCTTCTTGATTTCGGAAGCTTGCTCTAGGAACAATTCTTTGTTTCCAATTAGGGCCTCATTAGCAAATGCTCGCTGATACTACTCTCATGACACCATGAATTATCATCATCGTCATTATCATCATCGTCGTCATCATTATTGGCCGTCGTCATCGTCATCATCTTCATAGTCATCGTGATCATTGTCATCATCATCGTAACGTTATCGTCGTCATGATAGTCTTACTTCTTTTGGTTCATCGCGACGCAAAACGCCTCCACAGCACTCCGCCATTTTGCCTGATATGAGGTGACGCCAAATGTTTTTAATGCTGACCAGACTCTCTGACCAGCGGTTCGCGTGTAAAAATTAGGAGGCATTCGACAACCAAGTTAACTTTTGTCGTTTAATGCACTGTTATCATCTTTCCTTGGAGGCCAGTCGACATCCACTGACTGAAAACAAAAACAAATCAAAAATTAGAAAACAAAAGCACTTTTGACGGTCTAATTATGTCTACCAATTTGCTGTGATGCGAGTATGATTTCAGATGTTCGTGAGCTCGGCCATGTAATAAGTTTAAAAGTGATAGGTATCTTGAGTACAATGAGAACGATAACGGGGCATTTGTGGTTTGCGAGGGGACTTTGTTTATTCCCAATGAAATGCAGATGTTCAGTACACCACACCGAAGCATTATCACTTTCATCTCATCAGAGTTACCAAGTTGTTGAAGTCACACATTTACTTTAAGTAATCATTACAATCCTACCTCTACATCCAGTTCTAAAATGTCCGTTTCAGCGTTTAACAAATCTCCCAAGCTTGGTTTCGTTCTTCCGAAGTCTCCATGAACAAACTCTTTGATATAACTTGACAAAAGTTAAGGAAAACGTCTTCTGCTATCACTCGTTATACCGTATCATTGTAAACAAGTGCAATTCTAAATGTAACATGCCGTACTTCCTTCGACAGCCTTCCCAGTAAATTAATGTTCACGAGGAAAGCGGATGTTAGGGCATTAGGATACGTTCCTGCCTGGGTTTTAAGAAAAAGATTCCAGTGATTGGAGTCGATCCGTTCTGATTTCATGCTAAAAATGTATCGCTCCCTCACAGCCAAAGGACGCCTACAAACCAAAAAAAAAATAAAAAAAGAACCTTAAGACGTTTTAACGCTAATCAACCTTTCCTTCCAAACAGGGAGGTGCAGTAAGCTTTACAACTACATGTAGTTAACAGCTGCGACACTCGATTAAACATAAAAAAATACCAAAAGCAAATATAACATGATTTAAAAACTTCCCAAGCATGGGTTAAGCAGTTGATTATTTACAAGCCTGATCAAGTATTTTAACCCTCTAACACCCTAACATCAGGATTAATATTCCCCATAGTGTTTTCTGAGTATTTCCTAAGGCGCTGGCAAGGAGAATTTCTTTAACAATCAGAATTTCTTTAGTTGGTGATCATTTCCTTTATTCTCGTAACCGTAATGTTTGATTCAAGGCGCTACGGTAAGGAGAAATTAGATGCTAGTCACTCTTAGGAGTTAAGTGGTTTACTACTGAAAAAACAGATCTATCATTTTCAACCAATCCCACAATAATTATCGATTTGGAGTCTACGGTACCCAATGCGACGAAGGCTCCTTGTCATCGTACCCGTGAGTCCGTACGTGAACGTTCTCATCAATTTCATCAGGGAAGTGGCAGTTTTGATTTTAGCATCACAATCGTTATCTTTATCACAACATTAAATGGCCTATTTACAAAGAGCTATGCCTTGTTTGGGTAGCTTTTTTTTCTGGCCGGTTTAAAGTATCAGTTTTCGACGAATTGGTAACATGTCATGGCAGCATCACTCATTTCATGAGTCACATCACCCACGTTTGTCTCCAGTCACATCACCTTAAGCTCTGCAAAATGAACCCTCTATGGGTTTTCCTCGTATTTCAGCGACCTTTTCAATTAAAATTGGTGCATAAGAAATTCCACTTATAGAGAAGCGAACCTTATAAGGGGATATTTGAGCCTCATAAGAGGACACTTGATACTCGCTAAAAACAAAGACTTCCGTAGACTAGCTTACCCATTGCGTGCCTCTTTTTCTAATAGGAATGGAGTTATCACATTAAAAAAGGCTAAACATCTTGAGATTCAGATAGACAGATACACTTCAACATAAAGGAAAGTAATCACTCACCTGTGCAATACACGCAAAGGAGTTTTCTGATAAATCTTTACATCCTATGTGAAGGAACAGAAAATAAAGTCAGACTCCAATAATCTAAATTAATCAGTTGTCGATTTAATTAAAACTCTATGCAGGCAAGATAATTTATGAAAAAGTTACTCCATTATGACAAGTTCCTACGATATTTTCTTTTGCTACCCACGGTTTTTTCACAGGTGTGTCATCCGAGAATCGTGTCCACAAATCAGAAACGTTTTGTTTTGTAGGGATGGTTACGAAGAACTGCGATAAAATGACACACTATTTGAATTATGATTGGTGAAAAACCTTTTGCCTATGTAGTCGATACCAGTAAACAATTAGAAAGTGCAGCATATTTCTTACAGGACTAATTACGTAAAGTTAGTTTTTAACTCCCCAAGGTCTCTTTCGGTCATTAACGTGACAATCCCACGCCAGGAAGAAGTTAGTTATTCAAACCATACACTGTGTGCGGCGAAGTTACCGCTCATGATCAGAGTTTAAATATAGGGACGAAAAGGCTCTACCTTCATGTCATTAAGTTTCTGAAGCTGTTCTTCAGTAACTTCGTTTTCAGTCCATATCAACGCCCTGCAGACGGAGAAGCAGTTTAAGGAGAAGCATCAATATTCCTTTCGAGGAAGTGGAATTGGAAGAGGTAGGGGGGGAGGGGATGGTAGGGATTGGAGTCTAGACTCAAACGTTTTGCCCGTCTCTTCACGCGTTTTCTTTTCTTTTTTTTTTTCTAGTTAGCGGGATTGTAAAAAATTTGCGTTATCATATGTAACCCCACCACGAATTGTTGTTGACTTACCGATAAGTTTTAGTCTTGTTTGTTTCCGCGTCTTTCAGGGCGAGACACTGCTCCCTACAACATAAAGTTGCGGCAATCTCAATAACAAAACTCTCTACACGTACAGTGAAAACAACTTCGACTTAATCTAAAAAATACGCACTTGGAATTTCTGTAAAATAAAATAACGTATGGCTACATGATCACTTACTTTGTAACCTGCTGGAGGTCTCTGATGGCAACGTCGGAACATGAAGAGTTTATTTCTCTTTGAAGTTCAGCGAAGAAAGACTCCTTCAGACGAGTAATGCGCGGATTGATCAGTTCAACCAGAAAGGGCCTTCCTGTGATTTTGAACATATACTCGCATTAAAAGTTGTAGAAGGCACGGTAAGGGGTAACAGATTCTGGACTGTAACGTCTAGGTTCGAGCCCTAGAAGATCAAGACAATTAAACTCTGAAACGATCTTTCTTCTATCTGTAAAATATTATCAAAACAATAATATCCTAAGGTGAGCTGCATTAAAAGAACTTGATTAAAGTAAGCCTAAAAATTTGAGATTTTGAAGGGAATCTAACCATTGGTCTCAGAAACTAGCAATAATAAGGACATACTCACTTACTAGCCACATGAAACCAAATTCATCAGGAATATTGAAACGATGCCTTGTGCTTTAAAACAAGTGTAGAACAAACTAAGTATAAAAAAGGGCTAAGCAACAACCGCAACTAATTGATGCTGTACTACCGAGATAATCATCTATGAGTAGAATCTAATGTTCCAATGTGCGTATCTGAGTTAGCTTGAAAAAACATGTGGCGCCAACATACCGTTACCGAGCATGCGCACGTCAACGTCTTCTCGTCCGGCGGAGGCGAATTTATGATCTGCAAAAAATAATTCATGAACATTTGAATGAAACAAACAGAGTACGTTTGGAAGTAGAGGTGTGACTTTTCCTAACATATTTTCCTCCCCATAAAGAAAAAAATAAGGTCTCAAACCCAGCCGCTCTAACGCGTATCAGCGTCCTTATCACATGTCTAATAAACAACTCGTACCCACCCTACCCCCTCACAACACACAGTGGATACATACCGTCACACCTGACCTTGGCTGTCAGGAGGTCACATATTTTTTCCTGCAGAAAAGCAGACGACATGATATTGAAAGAAAGATGTTAGACAGAACTTAATGACGTTTATTTCATTTAATCCGGTTTAGAATTAGGAAACATTCCCATTAGACAGAGGTTTCAATCAAAGCCGGTGCCAAGCGGTTGACCGCTGCCCATAAGACCTCTTACAGCCGTCTGTTTAGCCTCCCATTACACCATTAATTGGCAGTCGCTTATGAAAAAAGTTATTGAAAACCTGAATTAACCACTTCATTTACGAAGACTTACTATCTCTAAAATGTGTATGACTGGATTATTTCTCACTACTATACATTTCCTTGTGCATACGTTTGGGAGAATTTGACTTCATATTTAAAATAACCATGTAGCTGATAGCTTTGTATCTTCTCTTCAGCTGTTTTCTTGTTTATGCATTAAGTTTGAAAGGAAAGATTACATGTTCATCAACTGTGCAAGTTTTAAGGTTAAACATTACCTCAACTGACGACTCGCGGAGTCGAACGTTGTCGATTAACCAAGGCGTTTGAGGAAGAGTTCGTGAATACTTGTTGTATCTTCCTAAAGTCCATACAAATATAATTAAACAAAACAATCAGTATGTGAATGATTTCTTCCCAAAATCTTCGATCCCATCAAGTGTACCTCCAATATTTATTGTTTACAAACCTGCAATATAGATGGAATCGTGACCACATGTTATCTGTGATAACTCAATGGGTGACTGAGCTGACTTTGGTGGGCAGTCGGTGACTCTGAAGGAAAATAAACAGGATTAACATCAAAGGGTCAGCTAGCAGGGGAAAGAGATTGGAGTAAATATTTCCTTCAACTTTTTCACTCGACGACCGAGAAAAAAATCGTGTCTTTCTTCTTTTTCTACGCAAGGACGTGAAGAGGAAACAGCGATAAAAAAATCGAAAAAGAGGGTAAGTTTCTAAAGGACTATGGTGCTGCATTGGTAGGGGAGAATAACAAGATACTTTGGTTTTATCAACTGTGTTGATAACGTAAACAAGCAACCGTAAAGAGTTTCAAAGCTGAAGTTTCGAGCGTTAGCCCTACGTCAGAGCGATAAACATCGGTAAAACTGCACTGCTAAAATGTTTAAGTAGTGTCACAGCTACCTTTTTAGGAGATCCACAGTTGATAGTTCCGCAAGAGCTTTGTTGACAGATGACGATGAAAGTTTTCCTTGCTCTGGATTGTTCTGACAGAAAACCAAAGAGGGACATTTCAACTGAGTGTTAAGAGTAATCCGGGATTTCTTTGGTTTTGCTTTACTTGCGCTTTGATTGGTCTCAAAAAACCCGCGGCATCCTCTCAACCAATCAGAATTCGATACTAAAACCAATGGCAACTTGGTCAGTCGCGTTTTCCCGCGCTTTCAACACTTTCCAATTTGACTTTTAAATTTTTTTTAAATGTTTCCTCTACTCATCAACATAGTCTGAAGCAAATAAAAATGAATTGAAACTGGTTGCCACAATTGAAACCACCATATAGATACATTTAAAGATAATCAGCTTGCAGCATAATTGTTACAACTTTTCTGACTGTTTCAAAACAAAGTGAAGTCATAGATCTAATAAATGACTTACTTCTGTTTTACGTCGTTTCCTCCGTTGTCGCAGCCTTGACTTTGGTGAATCATTTCTACTCATTACAGGAAAAAAGGTAGAAATCTTTCATCAAACAAAAACCCATCTCATGCCTTACCATAAAGGATGAATACTTACATCATCAAATTTCTATGCTTGAGAAATAATACAAATAAATATCAACATAATTTCCTGTTGCAGACCTTCCTCTCTATTGGACGTTTGAAGATAAAAGAAATTTAAAAAGTTATATTCAATGTTTACCTAGGTACATGCAAGTACTTACAGAAACTCAACCTCTCTCTCTGCATCTTTATGGGTAAAATCCAATGAAATCTTGAAGGGGCTCTTTAGAAGAAATAAAAACTTCTATCAATCATTCAAAAGTGTTTTTAAGCACCACAAAAACTAATGGGAAAATTTTTAGTTGCTAATGAGGATTCAAACCTCAGAGCTTTAGAATTTAAGGTCAGACCCTTTACCACTGGCTTGTATGGCAGTCTTTTTCTTTTAACCAAACAGGAATATTGTGAGTTGATTAAGAGTAAATATAAAGGCACAGTGCCAAGGGAGAGGGGGGGAAGGGAAGATTGCGCTCTGGTAATGTATGACAAGCATATGGCACACTGTTAGAATATCCCATGTCAATCGTGAGGAATGTGTTAACCGAGGAAAGAGGATAGTAGACTTTGAGCTTGGTTAACCTGTAAAAAATACAAGCAAGAGTTAATAAAAATATCTATTTCCTTCTACTACCTTGAACCCTGTAAGCCTGAGAGTAACTAGCATCTAATTTCTTCACACAATCTCACTGCTCAATCACCATTAAGGTCATGAGAATGAGGGAAATGATCACCATCTGAAGTAGCTCTTGACAGTCAAACTAATTCCTCTTGTCATTGGAAGGAAATGTATATAACAGTACAGAGAATATGCTTACTGCTCTCAGGGTGTAAAGGATTAACATCCAAATGTAACCAAATAGACCCTTACACAATTGCTTTTGCTTTGCTGATCTTGTTCAATTCTCCCTAACCTTCTTGTCTTCTGTTTCTAGTTTGGATTGAAGATCACACCTGATCTCTAGAACTTACCAATGGCTTGTAGTTAACTTGTAATCTTTCCTCTAGTTTTGGACCAAGAACCCATTTGAACACATCCTTGACTCTTGGGATCTCATCCAGTTCCTTTCTGTCAAATGCTGAACTGTAACGCAAACCAAAAGAAAATATTTATCGGGAGGATAAAATAATAATATTTATCCCACATTATCAAACAAAATATTAGTACTTAGAAAAGCCCCATGAAGGAAAACAAGAATTTGGCCCTCTTGCATTTTCTGAAATATAAATTTAACCTTTAGGTAAAGGGTGTACGTCACAAAAGATGTTCACCCCAGTCAAAGAACAGGTACATTTTGAGGAAGTGCCTCAGCTACCCCTGAACTATCCCAATACTCTGTTCACAGCCATTTCTCTTCAGCCAAGCAAGGAAGCCTACTTCCTAAATCTCCCTCTGAATAAAAGACCCATGAGATAATTCAAGCTCAGTGAACTGTGCAGATTAAAACGCAACCTACCATATGTCTTCACGCCACAGTCAAATCATTTAGAAAAATTATTATTGAGTAAAGGAAAGCCACCCAACAACACTTACCTGAATTTTTCTTGTAGAAATATGGATAATGAGTGCTATAAACAAAATTAAAAAGTCTCTTCTAAGATATACATGCAACAAAAGTACTCAGGATTACACTTTCAGTTTTACACTTATTCTTAAGCAGGATCAAATTTTGGGTTTCACTTGTTGTGATAACAAATAAAGAAGTTATTTTCAATCAACTATCTACACAATGATTTTATATTATTTTGAAATTTTTATTAACCACAAAAATTATTAGTGAATGATCTAACTCAAAAATTAAAGATGTAATTTCATATTGATTGAATTAATGTATCAACTACTTATTGGACCATACCTGGCGAAGAGTCAAGGAATGCGACACAGAAACAGCCAACACAAAACTATCAAACTGATGACCACTACTCTTGACTGCTGATTGTATCTAAAATAAACAGAGAAGTACTGCCAAACAACTCTTCAGTTGACTCTGATAATGACCTCTCTTAAGGCTGTCAATATCTCAGGAATTCTCAGCCACAGCACCCTTAACCCTTTAACTCCCATGAGTGATGAAGGCAGAATTTCTCCTTACAATATCAATACAATATGAAGTATGCAAGTGATGAGAATATAGAAATATATCAGTCAAGGGATTATTAGTTGATTCAATACCAAATTCTATGAACTAACATCACAAGAGCTGTATAACAGACAGTAAGGGGAATTACTAATAAGATCTTGGGACTGAAAGGATTAATTTCAAGAAAATACCCTAAACAGAACAACTACATTGCATGGCCAACTGTTGTGTTAGGTTTTAAACCATACACTATATCATGACTTAAGGAGCCAAAAACTTTCCCACCCAGCCTGACCTACTGGGATTTTTGTCAAATGTTTTGCAATAAAAGCATAATCAGGACTGCACAGGTCATATGATGATACATCTTATTTTTCTCCCAATAACATCTCCACTTTGGATCATTATTTTGTCCCTTTTTTCAAAGAAAGAAAGAAAGAAACCCTTGCCCTGTAGATAAAAATATTTCCATGTCAAGAACAAGAGCATGGACAGGATATCAATTTAACTCATCTCTATCAAACTTACCTTATCAATGAAAGCACTTTCATTAGCCTTTTCCAAGATACCAAGACAAGCTACACAAATGCTCTCAATTTCTCTCTAAAGAATGACAGACAATACATGCAAAACATAATACAATAGTTTATTCAGTGTGGAACCATGCGCTTAGCTGTTTGGTTAAGTTTAAAAGACTGCACCAGCTACTTCACTGGCATTTCACAATGCAAAATAGATAAATGGATAAGTGAATTAAAATAAAAAATAGAATAGGAGATGAAATTCTAATCAGACAATTCGAAGAAAAACTATTAATAATATAGATAAAACTGTTTACAATAGAAATAAGACTGTTTACAATAGAAATAAAACTATTTGTAAATGAAAATAAAGTCTGGAGGGGGGAGGTGGGAAATGACAAATATTTTTTAAAAAAACTATAGTGCAGAGGTCTTTGCGAGGTCGTTGCAGTCCAGCGATGGAGAACTTCAGATTGCGAGTTCAACACTAGGTGAGTTATAAGTAAATAACAAAAATGTATTGTGCATGATGTGTGGATAAAATGGGGAAAGAGGGTTTAAAATTTAAAAGAATGAGGACAAATTGAGAGTAGGGAAGATATGAAGATCAGGGAGATGTGCAACTCAACTGACCCCACCGCCGAAAAAAACCATTGTACCGGTGCCACACTATTAAGTCTAAAGGCTTCGGATTCTGGGTACACCACGAGGGCACTCCATTGATAGATAATTTACGATAGGATTTCGGCGTTTTACCTCAACACTGTCTTTGTATGAGTCGGTGTCTCTTTCTCCAAGAAGTCGTAAAATACATCGTGGGCAACAGGGCATTAACTTGAGGGTTTCGTCAATAGACAAACTGTTCTCTTCCTTGAAAATCACATGTTAAATCAAATTTAAAAAAACAACAACAAATAAGAAAATAGAGCTCCTCGCATGGAAGTGATACCATATGAAATTCCTTTAGGAACTGCAAAAATTGGGCCCCGCTTTGAGTTTAAATGTGCAAAAAAAAAAATAAAAACAGAAAACACTGTTTTACCTTCGAATCGTCCGCCATATTCTTTTTTTTTCTAACCGCTGGTTAATCTCACAAGGTTATGAAGAAATAATTACAAGGCGCGGTTACCAAGAACAGCAACAAACATGACGGCGATGGCCGCCTGCCATTTTGTACGGCGAAAAATTTCATCACCCGCTTGTAGAAGTCAAGTTTTACCACTCATACATCGTTGCATTTATTTCAAAGAACAAAATTTACCTTTCGTTCGGCAGTTTTCTTCAGTAGAGGAAGAAAACAAAGCGGCTTCCCAAGACTTGAAGCTGAGTGACAACTGTATAAAGGTTGGATTGTGTAACATTTCCTCCATCTTGCAATTGTTCCTAATTAAAGGAAAGGGTGACTCATCTTTTGATTTTGTTCTTTTGTAATTTTGATTAACAGCAACTGAAAAAGATATTCCCAGATGACAAAGACGGATTTCTTCGTGTAGCAGTAGAGGGAGGTGGTTGTTCAGGATTTAAATACGCCTTTGACGTTGATTCTGATATCAGCGAAGATGATAGGTTTGTGTACCCACGTTTTTTTCTCTTTCCTATTAGTATACATTTCACTGAAAGATTAAGAGACCAGATAGACTTGGTGACATGCAGCTACAACACATTGCAAGAACAAGTTGCACGAACAATTTGCTTCCCAGGACCAGGATAGTTTTTGCGAACATCTTTGTCCCTTGAAAGGGGTTTTCTCCCCGTAAAAAAACATCACACAAATTCGACTAAATTTACGCACAGTGCAGTTTTTTTCGTGTATTAATTTCCCTTGCCTAATAAGTCACTCTCAATGAACAGACTGCACTAATTTACAAGGAATTCGAAGGGAGTATGTGGTAGCTAGGTTGGAGAAGTAACATTCATATCTTGGGAGTTAAAAAGTTCATTTTCTAATGTGCTTTTCTTCTAGAATATTTGAAAGAGATGGTGCAAAGGTTGTCATTGATGAAATTTCATTGGAGTACCTGAAAGGTTCCACAGTGGACTACCATGAAGAACTTATACGCTCTGCTTTCAGAATTTTACTGAACCCTAATTCAGAAACAGGGTGTTCCTGTGGTGCATCATTTTCCTTTAAACTTTAACAAAACTAATAAACGGTATATACTTATCAAGTAAACACCACAGTGTACATTTGATATTAAGCATTTGTGAGGAGGGATTCCTCTATTAACTCGTAATGTTAACAATTATGTAAAATCATTACAAGGTACATGTAAACATTATTTAAAACTGAAGCGTTTCTTGATTTGCAATGTCTCACAATAATTGTACAGATTTCAAAGAATGATTAAGGTTACCAATTTTTTGCCATCCTCAATATTTTGTATCTCATAGCCCCCAAAATCTTCTGGCTGGTTATAGCATTATGTAAGGGGGTCATTTCTTGGTAATTTTTCCTCAGTCTGCAACATTCAATAATCACAAAGACAACATTTATTTGAGATCAGTGTGTAATGGAATAAATATTATTAGCTACATTTTATGGCAGATAATCTGCTAGCAACCATATTAAAAAAATAACTGATCCTAAATGTAATTGTTATTGTTAAAGGTTATTTTAAAGATAAAAAGTGAGAATTTAAGTCAAATTTAACTTCGTGACTGAGATGAGGAAAAACTTAGCAAAAATAAAGAAATTAATTGTTTAAGAAACTTCTCCTCTTTTAATGGATTTGCTGAGACCTCATTTCATTCCCAGATCTGAAAAACACTTAGTGATTCTTGAAATGAGGGTCAACTTCTAAAACCAAGGCTTTAACATGTCTAACTTGTACATCGTTTATTGAAATAAAGTATATTTCTCACGATACTTGTATTAGTTTACCTTGCTAAGCTGAATTTCTGTAGTCCCAAACCAAGTATCTGCATAGTTACCTATGAAGAGCTTCTGCCTTGAAAAACATTTGTAGCATGCTCTCTCCAGAGGCATTGTCATTTCTGTCATCAATTTAGAGAATTACATTAACACTTGCAGTCAGTTGGTGTTTACACATTTACTTAAATCTGTTGATGATAAGTTAATCTGTTCTATACTCTCATGGGTAGTGTATACCTGAGGGTTATTTTTTTAACTCTTCTAAACCCTCTTTGAGTAGTGTGGACCTAAAGGCTGTTTTTAATATCTCCTATATCCTCATGGGTTGTGTATATCTGAGTGTTATTTTAAATCTCTTCTATACCCTCTTGGGGGGTGTAAACCTGAGGGTTATTTTCAATTGGTCTTTGATCATGGGGGTGAAATCAGCTTTACCAATAGCTTTTTGGGCCATTTTGTAGTTTCTTCTTTTCACATACTTTAAAGTTCCTGTTATATTTTGCTGTGACATTTGTTGAGGACTATTTGTGGACCTTGTGTTAATGAATTATTGTTGTCTTCTTTAAGACATGCATCATTTCTACAAAGAAAATAAGCTTAGTGTACTGCCCCTATGTCATTTTGAATTAGACCCATCAAGTTTCTTTTCCCTGGACTCTTGTTTTTGGACAAAGTACAAAGAAAGCAGTGTTGTATCTGGAAAATGATTTGAAATATTATTGTAAGTCATGCTTTTTTTCATTTCAGTCAAGGGGAGCTGTATTAACTTAATTGTGGCCATTATCAGTTGTCCTGGAGTATTCAGTGAACAATTCATGCCACCAAGAGGTGCCAAACCTCAGCTTGAATCACTTATGCAAATTAGCTGATTGAATGTGTAGCAAGCTAATATGCATTTTTTTTTTCAGTGCAAAGCTTGTCATTTAACTAAATGTTCTCCTAGCAATATCAAAAAACAGATTTTGAAAAAAGGCAAACTTATCAGCTGGGAAGTCTTCTCTTGACTGATACATCAAATTCCCCCCCACCAATCAACTGGAAAATGTTTAACATCAAAATGGGAGAATCACTAATTTTTGCATTCATTATGTTATTTATTTCACAATAATCAAACTTTTTTTAATTCAAGCTATGTAGTCCAAAATCTCCCCCATTTTCTTCCATATATTGCAACTAATACTGAAATTATACCCACTCAAACTGATGACTGGAAACCAGATCTGGACTGTGTGCCCAACACTGTAAAGGGTCAGTCTTTCCAGTAAAACTAACACTTCAGAAACATATCAATATGCTGATGTCGTTAACATGAAAGGACAAGTTCTTCTACTTCCCTGAACAGAATGCTAGTTTACTACTGTTTGCCCCCCTCCTTCACCCACAGGATATAACCTGCTTTTCTTGACAGTTTACCACAAACTGATTTCACTATTAGGTGGTGTCTTGCCCATTATCACAGCACATTGACCCAGTCAGGGCCTGCACTTAATCCACTTTATCTCTTTTATAGCTTGTGCCAAAGATCTTTCAAAGTGCCAGAAATAAAAACAGGTAATACAAATTGCTTCACACTCTCACTTTATTTGCACATATTTCAGATCTAAGTTCACAGTTTAATCATTATTGATCATTACCTAACATTACCATCTCAGTTTACTTTGTTTTGATCAATTTCTTTGTTTTACAGGTGTTAAGTCTATTGTCATTTTTTACCTACTCCTTTTCTGTTTAATTTTTTTTCGAGGACAGAAATTTTTCATCAACCCTTCTATGCAAACAATGCAGTTTAGTATATAATACAGTTCTTTGCAGGTGTCCACACTTTCCAGTACACAGGGGAGTTTTGTAACAATTGTGAGTGCAATTAGCCTTCAATTGTTGCTTCTTTTTATTTATGTTACAATTGGTAGTTTAGCTTTTCCAACATTTAAGTTTCAATCTACATCAAGGTTCTAACCCCTACCAGCAAGTCTGTCTGTATCAGTCAACAACTTCATTTAAGTCTGCCATCATCTTTGTTTGCAAGTACTTTATCTTTTGCTTTTTGAGAATAAATCTTTGAGTTTTAGTGAATTCTTGTAGTGTTGTTATCTCTGCCACATTGTCACTTACAACACTAACCAAACAATTGGTTTAAGAAAGATAACAGACATAAATTTCAAATAAGCATAAGTACAAAAATTTTCAAAAGATATCATTTGGTTTAAAAAATACCACCAAGAGATGAACAGGAGATCATGAAAATCAAGCAAATCAAAGATCCTGCCATGATCATTGCTTCCCATGATTTTCATCTGCAGGTTCGATGAAATTTCTTTTTAATGAAAACGCACACAAATGTTTAATTATTTATTGGTTTCAATTTCCCAAAATGATTCAGTTTATTTCAAATCGAAAGTTGTAAAACAATTTTGCAATGATTTAATTTAATTTGAGTGTTCGTTAAATAATGCTTCTTAGTTTTGTTATACTTTAATTAACTTATCTTCTTCTTTTAGGAATTTGATCTTGAAGTACAGGTAATAACATATATGCAAAAATTCACCATGATCATCTGCTATTAGTTTCATTTACTCCTGCAAGGCTGAGAATAGGATTTAGGTGCATGTCATGAAGAATTTCAGTATAATTACATTAACCAACAAAAGCAGGGACTGTGAAAGTCAATCCTTGAAGCAAGGCGTATTTTCTGACATAACACTACATGTACATTCACTTAAATAATTTACCAGGAAGTATGCCACAGTTGAAAGGGAGAGTTAATCAGTCCTGCTTCTAGCATTTTGATCCTGATTGAAAGTTTCTTTCTCGATATTGTTAACCAATTCTCTCTGGAATAGAAGAAATATCATAACTATAACCTCAAACATCCCTAAACAAAAACCTTCAGGACTTAAACTTTACATTATATTATTTTGACATCATAAATTCCATGAAGTTTTGAAAATAATGAATAAGAAAATACTTCTGTAAAAAGGCTTAAAATTAGTTAATTTGTGTATTTTTTCATGAAACTTGGTTCATTAGAGGTAAAAAAATTCTCAAAGTAAATTTAAAAACCTGGAAAAAAATCTTGGTTTGCTAACAAACAATCTAAGATTACAGAAAGATGTTTTTGTTTTGTTATGAGTGCGAAAACAGAAAAACTACTCTGATGCTCTACTTCTGAGCCAGAGAGACTTTGTGGTGAACGAGGTCTACAAAGTTCATATGACACGCATCCTGCATACTGCTAGGATCAGCAATAGCATCATGTTTGTAAATAGAATGAGAGATGCTCAATAAAGAAATAGAAAAAGATGTTTTTTGTCTTGTCACAAGCATGGGATAAAGAAAAATTCTGAGTCCTCAAAATCAGCAAATTTCCCTTAAAATGTCCCGCAACTTTGCCTCAAGGAAACTTTTACTATTTTACTTTTTATTATTTGGGATCAATATTCATCACTTCAACAGAAACATTCAGCCTTTTAAATACCACTCATGATAACCCATAATTACCCCTAACTAACAGTATACTATCAAAGTACTACTGTCTGTTGACATCAAACTACAATATTACATCTCACAAGATACTGCTGATAGAACAAGTTTTTCTCCTCACTCGGTTGGTTCAAGTCTTTCTATTATTCCTTGTTATTTTTTGGCTTCATAGCCTTTCGTTTCATCCTAGCATATGGTCCAATTGCTGGATCAGTGATGAAATCAAAAAGTACTTTTGTCCAGGAGTGATGTTGTGGCAAGTTGTCATAGTACTCTGGTGCAATCTCTTTCACCAAGGGTAGTCTGGAACCAGGAATACTTGGAAAATCGTGATGCTCATTGTGGTAACCAACGTTGAAGGTGACCATATTCAAAGGGCCATAGTATGAGAAGGTTTCAAAACCCTTGGCAAACATGTAGTGCTCTGAGATAAAATGCCCAGCCACTGGGTGAAGCCCCATACCTAACAATGAACTTGCAATCATGTACAAAAGTGCCTTTCCTCCCCAGTAATGCACTATCACTGCATCAACACCAAACTGGAGAATAATGTTGAAGATTTCCAAAGCCAAAGGATTCTTTGGGTTAACAAACATTGGGCGGAATGAGTAGAAGAATGGTTGAAATACCACCCAGAAAAATTTGGTTAATGTGTTAAAAAACAAACGGGCTTCAAATTCTGTGGGCAGGTCCACATCCAGCTCTTCATCACCTTGGTATCTGTGGTGCTCCAAATGATACTTCTTGAAGGAGATGGCACATGGTACTCCAATAGGAAAGTTTACTATCAGTGAGAAGATTCGGTTGTGGATTGGTCGTGCATGGCCAAATGCCAAGTTGTGGGAGATCTCGTGTATGGCTAGGAGTAATGCATGGTTGATGACGCCACCAACAAAATATGCAGCCAAAAAGATGACAGGCCAGGAGAAATCTTTCAGCACATATGTTAATGTGAACTGGATCACAATTAACAGCAATACTTGGTACTTGAAGTTTGGATCATAGCCCATCAACTTCTTGATTTGGGGGTACTTAGCTGAAAAGAGAAAACAGAAAATATTTTACTAGTGAACAAAAACTTATTGTGCTGATCACAAACAAAAGTTGATATCAAGAGAAAATAAAATGGTAACTTCAGAATCTGTCACAGAGAAAAGATAAAACACTTGCAACTTGAAGGTTGATGAAAAAATATACATTGATCGTAGAAATAGGTGACATCAACAGAGAAATGAAATGGTAACTCTAGTCATTATTAAGAACTCTGTAAAACTGGAGGTAGTGGGAAAATACAAGCAATTTTTTCTCATGGTCTCATAGATCATGTAATAGATCTCTGGTAAGACATTCCTCATCAGTCGAAAGACCTAAATACAAACTCTATCGCCAAAAAAAAAAAAAAAGAAATTATTTGTAGTCAGAACATGATTCCTTGAATAAAAAGTCTAGTGCCTGTATTACCTAATAATATCACATTTCCTACATTAGTCTGGTTTCTTTCACTCTTCTGCTTTAAAATAAAAAACTTTGAATAGGTAAGAAGTGGTTGGGAAACCTTTCGCTTCCTCTAGCCCTTGGGTTTCCAGTAAAGATTTTACTTCGCTTGTTAAAGATTTGCCTGTAAATGCTAAATAATTCTCTTATTACTTCATATTAATATCTCCTCTTGTGAGCATGAAAAGATTCGTTATTCTTTGTTATTGTTGTCACAAGAAGTGACTGAGAAAGAGAAGGAGTGGTTTTGCTTTTGTTTGCATACATTTAGCGTATCTGTGTAAATTTCTGTTTTGATTGTTATATAACTTATTTGATGAACTGTTTTCACTGTATCCTGCCTCGTCATTCAGGAGAGTACATGTGGATATAAATGTTACTTTTGTTCAATCGAATCTTGATAGCTGTTCAAACTTTTTCCAAGCAAAACGGAAAATGATCAGGCCCGACGGATGATATCATTTCGCCCTTTGTACATCAGACAACTCAGCTTGACACTGAATAAATAATTCATTTTGTACTACTACAGCTTGGAATATCAGACTAAGGCCATAAGAAACGAAGCAATCCAAAATAATAAGTTCGATCTTGAGATTGAACAAGGTTCATTTAGTTCAGATTGGATACTGTATGTTCGAAATAATTCACAAATTTAAGTTTTTCAGTGAAAATTCACAGTACTTTTTACACGAGGTTAGTTTAATCTCATTGCATAACATGGTCCTTTAGGTGTAACGATTGAAATAAGAAATGCTCTTCCATGTGGGTTCTCTAGTCTAAATTTTCAGAGAGAAGAATTGATACAGTCGTGGAAAATTCGATGACTAAATACTCGTATTTCATACCGAATCAATACTAAATCAAGAGTGGCCATGAGTCCTGATGCCTGCGGCTACAGATCCCGATGCACGGAACCGGCTTTCTCTCTAGTTTATTCACAAAGAAGGGTGAGAATTTTTATTTCAGATGAATTCCCTTCGGGAGAAAACCATTAGATCAAAACAATAAAAGAGTCAACTAGAAAATGGTTACCAGAGTGAACTTGTGCTGGCAATTCTTTCCGCGTGAAAATATAAATTTTCATCGTCTGCCAAAGCAAACAAGCGCAAAATCTGAGAGCGTTCGAGTCCTTCCCTTTAACGATAAAAAAAGAAAACGAGCCCGATGCTTGCATTTCTTACCTAAAATTTCCTTCCTTCTTGAAGCATGTGGTTCGGCTGTGTATGACCATTCGAAGTCAGTCCTCGATACATGTCCCCCCATTTTGATGTCACCGGTAAAAGCCCAGTGTTTTACGGCAGCGCCTCGATACCCTTCAGCGGTTGATTAAGATGCAACGAGACAGCTGTAAGATTGTTAAGACGCAACGGGGGGTGTGGCGACGAAATTGCGTAAGTTTGAAGCTGTCACAACTAAAAGCGCTAACCTTATAGGTAAATCTTGTCTTCCAGCTTAGTTTCAAAGATCTTTAAGATGTCAATGGTACAAAATGTACAGCAATCGCGCAGATCTTTGTCCTTTAATTCTTCTTGATAGGACTGTCGATTCGTCATCGCTTTTGTGACAAAAGCGTCACCCCATCTGGGTAGCCAATCAATCGGAGGTTGTTGCGTAAGATCCAAAATATCAGCTACTGTCAAAGTGAGTGATAAGTCAAGTTAGCGAATAACTGAGAAAATTAATCGCGCAAGATCTCGGTAAGTTCCTTGATTAAACATCCACTATACAAGTTACTGCGTGAAAACTAGTGAAAATACAAAATTTTTCAAGCTACAAGTGCAAAAAACTGACCTACAGATTGCGAATCCATGTGCATCAATTGATTTGAATTAATTATTTGTCGCCTGATCGTATGACAGTGGTGAACTCAGTCTCGCATTCATAGTAGGGATGGATGGGGGAATGTGTTATGCAACTTCTCCAGGCTCGATTTCGCAAGAAAGCCCTCATTTGGATATTTTTAATAAAGTTAAAAGATTTAGACAAAAATCTGTAGTGCATGCATAAACTCTCAACTTCCGGCTGCCGTCCGCTTCGGTGCGCACATAGTTATAGACATGTCTACATATCTACATGTTAAGGGTATTAAAAGGTGTTAAAGGCGAGCGTGATCCGTGAATTTAAGAACCAGTGTGAAGCTTGATTTTCCTCCTTAAATATACGCGACCCGAAAGTTTTTTGTTTCATTTCGTGAAAACTCAAGATTTCCCTGAAACCTCGAAAGGTTCACTAAAGTGCCAACCCGGAAAGATGAGCGAACCTTTTGTAATAGTAACGCCAGTCAAATCCAGTCACGCACGAGATTAAAGGTGAATTTATTGTCACCTCGTCAAGTTTCCCTTTTCGATTAAGGTTTTTTCCGAGCAACGTCCAGTTAAGTATAAATTGTATCACATCCCTATTAGGTCGTATCTCCATTTTATAGCAAAACGACCCTCAAGATGACTTGTTAGAGCAAGAGCCGGGAAGTCTGGGTATTAGTTCGAATGAGGGTGACTTGCGAAGACTGGTGACTTTTAAGATGGCCACCTTGGTTGTACGACGGATTTTAAACAGATCTCTTTCCTTCGGTCCTCCTACAGGCCGTATTACAGCTAAGTTACGCTTCCTCAGTGACCAAGCAGCCACATGGACAACAGAAAAATTCGATGAAGTCGTAAAGAAGGACAAAGTGGTGGTTTTTATGAAAGGAGTTCCTGAGCAACCAATGTGTGGTTTTAGTAATGCTGTTGTTCAGATTCTTCGGATGCATGGTGTCGAAGGTTATGGAGCTTATAACGTACTAGAAGACGAGGAACTGAGGCAGGGAGTGAAAGAATATTCGAGCTGGCCGACAGTTCCTCAAGTCTACATTGGAGGAGAATTTATCGGTGGATGCGATATTGTGTTACAGTTGCATCAACAAGGTGAATTGATCGAGGAACTGCAGAAAGTTGGAATAAGATCTTTGTTACTGGACAAAGCCGAAGAGGATAAAAAGGACACTTAAGCTTGAGAAACTTGTACAGTACGATTCGGCGCTGGCCTAACATTGCTTCGAACAATCTTGAACATCCACCATAACCATGGATGACGTAATAGTTCTCAGACAGTTGAACTAAGTTCAGGGCGACTTGCACAAAACTGATTTTGATAACAGGAAAAAAAAGAAATAAATTATATCCAGGTTCGATGTCATCTTTGTTTGCTTTGGTCCTGAACACTTAATGTCAAAACTGAACTTAGCTGTATGAATTAAGGTGGTAAGCTTACTGAAGAAACTATGATGCTGTTCTAGTGGACAATATTATGAGTGAAAATACTTTGGTTTTATTGAGTGAGTTGATAATATTAATTGGCCACTTAAAAATTTATTTCTGTAAGATAATACAGCAGTGTGCTTAATTGGAGCCAATATTACAGAAACATCTCATATCACTGGTACAATTGTAACAGGCCACAGCCTCTTATGAGCTTTGTACACAAGTCTTAGTTGCACCCTTAATGCATCATGCTACATGCCATTTGTACAGTCTGTTAAACACTGAGCTAGTAAAGATATCTTGCTGAAGATTTCTTGTCCTATTGGATTGCAAAATCAATCATCCATTGTGTCATGTGCAAAGAATGTTATGGTCCTTTTAAGGCCCCATTTATATGATCTTGGGTAACTGTAACAACCCCCCCCCCACTGAGTTATGCTAGGCAAGCTAACCTTTCACTTATTTCTTTACAAAATTCAGTCCACCACTCACATGAGGTTGTCAACTTATCTCAGGTCAGTGGGTCAACTAGAGGAGGGGAGAGAGGGGGGTGAGTTGTCTCACTTTGGCAGGCAGGCTAGCCCTGGCAGGCAGGACAACTTTTTCTCATGACATGAGACATGACACCTAATTTGAAGATGTGTGCACACACCATAACCAGGTTGTTTATGGCTGTTAATTCCCTGTCTTCCACCATTTTGTCAGAGATATAACCTGGCTGAAGGAGGGTCAGCAGAAGTCAAATTTCCTATAAACGCTCTGTAAAATTGACTGGGGGGGGGGTAGGGTTGGGGTTAGGTTAGAATTACAAGAAAATGGACACTGATGAAAACCAAGGTCCTCAAATTCTTTATGAGCAACCTGGGTTTCAGTCTACTGCTTGATGTCAAAACTACTACACATTGAAAATAAATCAACTGAGACACATTTTGTTATGAAACTGCTCTCTATTCATTTAAAGACTCGTCAGTAGCCAAACTTTTCATTTAAATGTGTTTTTCCATCCCCTGTCTGACCTGAGAACCAAACAAAAAGATCATTAATAGCCTGATCACTTATTATTTCCTATTATAGGTGTTGATCTTTACCCTTTCACTCCCAAGATCTCATTAACAATTCTCCTTACTGTCTGCCATACAATTCTGATGATGATAGTTTGGAGTATTTGGTATTGGATCACTAATAATCCCCTTAATGATATTTTTCTTCATTCCAGTCACTTGTCTTCTTGATTTTGTATCTATAATGTAAAGGGAGATTCTGTTTTGGCAACTCTTAAGAATTTAAGGGTTAAATCACCAATCTTGTCCAAATAATCCTCCAGTGCCACCCCAGTCAACTAAGACAACTTCTGACCATGACAAACACCAATTAATTTTTATTTTGTTACCAGGAAATTCCCATTCATTGATAAGATACATTTTCCTCAGCCATTCCAGTTGTTGGGTAGGCTTCTATTTTGATCTCAACATAGTTTTTGAGCCTTGCGGAAACTATTCTAATCAAAAACTCAGCCTTTGTATAAATGTGGTAAGCTTCTAAAGAGACTGTGATGCTGTGTCAGTGCAGGTGGCACAGGATAATTTGGATTTATCAACTGAGTTGATATTGTAAATTTACCACCCCTGTAGTCAAGTTTCAGGCATTAGCCCTTTATTAAAGCAACTTCATCAGCTTGACTTGTGGCCATGTCTAAGTAGGTCTCCCTTAATCAGAGAACATCACTGAACAGATGGCATGAAAGGTGGTTTATGTACCTTGGTGTTTTTTTTTTATTTGATCATTTAGACCATACCACCTTTCAACTTCCTTAGTTTGCACCTCACAAACATTTTCTTGTCCTTTGGAGGAACACTTCCCTAAGTTATAAGAACTGTATAACCAGTCACTTTCAACAGTCAACAAGTGGACAAACCTTCAGGAGGCATCCATGCAGTAAATGAAGGGTCACTATCAGCCTGCCACTGTGTGGGCACACCATATGACCGTTTCTTCATCTTTCTTCTCTTTTTTGGAATATCTTCATTCTAGGGGAAAAAGCAAAGAAAAATGAGGTGGTCAAAGTAACTGCTACAACTTAAGATTTCAGTTACCCATTTTGAATAGAAGAGATTTGTAGACCATTTTACTTTCTCTTAAGTAGCATTTTCCTAATTATCATCACATAATTTTATACCATCATACTTCCCACTTGACATTGACAATTAATGTACATACAATACATATTTTAGGGGAAATATTCACAGCTTACATTTTCTTCTGTTCTGTTCTTATCATCTTCCTGCATGTCCATCGCTACATCTGAATTGACTCTTTTCCTTCCTAGTTCACTCTCCCCATCTTCTTCTTGCCCAAACTTTTCTGTTTCTTCTATGTCTACAGTCTTGTCACTGTCTGATGGCACTACAACATCCTTCTTTTGTTGATTTTTTTTCCTTCCACCCAAAGCAGGCAAAACAGGAACAGCAAATTCTTTCTGTTCTGTAAGATCTGATTGACTGTTGTCCCTGAGTACCTTTTCATGTAAATGTTCCTTATCAGCTGACCTTTTGGTTTCTTTTTCTTTCTCTAGTGTAGCTGGGAATATGTGTCTAGAATCTGTGTTTATATCTGCTGTCTTATTTGATGAAGAGTCAGTAGCTTTACTTTCAGATTCAGTGCTCAACTTTTTGAGATAAGTATCAGGTGCTTGCCTGAAAAGCAAAACAATTGTCAGAAATAGCTAATGAAGGTGTTAATACAAGTATCAGCTTGTAGCAACTTGCCTTGGAGTAATTGACATTTTTTTGGCAATTTTTAATTATTAACCTCAAAACAAAACAAAAAAACACCCAAACAATACTAGGTGGACCAAATTTAGAAATGCAGCAATTTAGGTCTAACTGCATACCCTATTTTAAAATTAAGTTACTTTGTCACAGCTCATGGTAAAAACACAGATGTGAGGGTGGAATATTCTCGCAAATTGTTTAAAATAAGATTTCACATTTGCCATTGAAAATTCCTCTTACTCTGTAACTGGTGGAAGATTAGCTGGCTTGGCAATATTAACAAGTTTGACCAGTCTTTGTCTTTCCTAGAAAATAATAGAGATATTATGCCTTTACAAATCTTCTCATGATGACCTTCCTCGTGCCTTTACCACTTAACATTACATGCATAAAAGGCAATTTTACTGATTGAGTATTGTGAACCAAAACTAGTGGAAAGTAGTAACAAAAATATATAAGAGACATACTGAGAAGCCAAAGAGAGAAACATGTACATGTTCTTGGCTTTGTGAGGAACTATTTCTAGATCAAACACAAAGTAACATAAAGCAAAACCAATGTAGTCTCAAATCAAACAGTCACTTAATATGGTAAATTTAAAGTTATTACTAAATTCACCTTTTTCAGGTCAAATATTTTTCTTCTGATCTGAGTCCTTGTTGTCTTGTCTAGTGATGTTCCAAGTGAGCTCATGAAATCATCCAAAGAGTCAGCATCTCCAGACATTGAACCATTTCTTCCTAAAAAACATGAAGTAGTCAAACCAAATGAGATGTCAATTAATAAAAAACTGCACTGGAAACTAGTGTTAAAATGCTCACTGACAAATTTTAATCCTCTTTGAAAATCACATGTAGAATTTGCAAGTACAAAGGGCTAGTAAAATATAGCAGCCAACAACTGTAAAATGGAATTTCTCCGAACATCTATCTTAACCATTAAATCCACTTTACAAAAAACTTACCCCCTGCATCTTGCTTTAATCGACTCTCACAATCTGAAATTTCATCATCCAACATCTGAAGCTTTGAAGTCTTGCTCAGAACAATAACAACACAAAGTTAAGAATTTGTTATATACAGACAGTCTCATAATTTTATGTGACTCTACCACCTTTCCTAGCTCACCAAAGAGTCCTTTGCAGCTTAGCTGGTAAGGGGGGGGGAATTCTGCTGCAATATTGGGGGAAGGGGTCATAAGTTTGAGAACTTGTAGAAAACCCAGAGCAATTTAATGCGTTAAGTAAAGACAACAGGGAACAGGGAAATATGGGCATGATTCCAACTGTCACAATGCAATAATTTAATGTAAACATTGATCTAATTTGTAAAAGTGTTTAAATATCTTACCAAAGATTCATAAGTTTCTGTGGTGGACTGATCTTTACCAGCACGCTTCATTCTTTGTATTCTTTTCTTCTCAACTATAAGGTCAAAGAGTCAAAGCTATTAACAATTAAACCCCCAAGATCTGATTGTTAATTCTCTGCTCAGGCTGCTTCACGTTTCCTTGTAAATTAACGATTTATGTTTTGTTCAACACAGATATTTATCAGCAACAAATTACAACTGACCTGATCCAGTTCTATCCAAGAAATTGTCTTCATCACTGTCATAAAAATCATTTTCTTCCCAATTTTTCTCTTTGTGTTTCCTACTCTCTGCATGGGAAACAACAGAACTAGAATTAACAAATTTAATAGAATCCATCTCCAACTTGAAATTGAATTAAGAGAGATAAATGAAACATATAATTTCTTATGATTATTAAAATCAACCATGAATTTATCTGACTGATACAAATATATAAAGTGATCCACTACCATGAGAGGACTGTCTCAGGAGGCCAGCAGCATCCAGCATTCGACATGCCTCCTTTGCACACTCCAATACTGCTTCCTTCTTCCTTCCTGTGATAGCAGCCTCGGCATAAAGAGGATCACCACTTGGCCCATCTATTGGCAATCTATAAAAAATGTAACATGGTCAATCTTCATATTCTCCACACTCTTCAATATACATTTCCTTTTGTGCTGACAAGGAGAATTTGTTTATCAAACAGATGTAAGGAGAAACAATGCTGGTCACCATTAGGGTTTAAAGGGTTATGTTATTAATAAAATATCATATCAAAATTATTATAGTCATTATTTGAAATGCGATTACCGTTACGGTAGTTTTAATGATATCATGAGAGTTAATAAATATAATAATAATTCATACCATTGGTTATAACTATAATAGTAATAACTTTGTTTATAGGTCATGGTATTAAATCACCAACCAAAGCAAAGCAAATCAAACATAAATGTAAATAACATTTAAACCAATACCCCAAATTCTACAAGACATAAATCATAGCAATGGAGTAGGACTCAAAACTATAGAGCAGCAAATCTTCTTGAGATGAAAAGTGGACAATTTGAACCCAGGACCTCCAGTTTTCAAATCCAGCCTTCTTACCATAAAGGCCATGTCACTTCCACATTCAAAATTTCACTTACTTTACTCTGCAGTGAAAAACTTTTGCATGACCTGGACCTTTCTCTTCTACATCATACTCTAACTCCAGCCCTGACAACCATAACAATAAAATATTACAGCACAATTAATCAGAGTCACTGAAAATAGAACAAAGAAAAAATACACTAATGACACAAAAAATTTCATAGAGAACCACAATCATAATTAATGTTAAAAACCTTCTCTTTCAAAGAATCCTCTCAAAGTCTTCTTAGGATCTTTGAAATGATGCTCCTCAGCCTTCTCAGTTTCACCAAAATCAGGTGGATATGTAGGCTCTTCAACAGCATCCTCCCCTAAGGAATTAAGTAAAAGGATATGATCATTGCTAGGGACCACTTATGTCACAAGTAATATGCGCTATATATTTATTTTTGAAAAGGGAAACCATTTAATTTTGCTGGACAGCTCAAAATTTATAATTATACTTAATATGCTATAAACAACTCAGAATTCTCAGATACAAGTGGAAGCAAAGCAAGCTATACCATACTTGATGCAATTTTCAAAAACAAGAAAATCTTACCCCTTTTATGACATCAATAGTGCTAATGTAACAGTTAAAAAACTCAGTGGGCCAGTTATTTGAAGAAAAGTTAGCAAATGGCCAAAATAAGACTTCTCTTCTCTTTTAATGCAGAATAAATTTTTACTCAATATAAATTATTACCCATTCCCCAATCAATTCCTGTATCTTCTTCATTTTGTTTTCCTCCCTCTCTTTCTTTCTTCCATTCTTCATATTCCTCTTCGGTCATAACTCTGCCTACTTCACTGCTCCTGACTTCTGTTTGTTTTTCTGTTTGTATAGCAGCATTTGAATCAGATTCTTCACCATCTTCAGGGCCCTGCAGACAAAAGCAAAATAACACAGTATTATGGAGGGAAGTACAGTCAATGATTTGAAATGGGTGCTTACTAGAGACTAGGTGCTTAGCTTTTTCTACCCACAAGGTGGGCACTTACTCTAAGTGGGCTCTTATTCGAGGTGGGCACTTATTTAAGGTTGGGTGCTTGATGCTATAAGTATAGGTAACAACATGATCTTGAGTGCAATTTGGTGTTAATAAGCACAAGTCAATTTTTCAAAGACAACAAAATTGTACGAGCCCTAGTCTTTGGAAAATTTATAAGTGCTTATTTACACCAAATTGCACGAGAAATCATGTTGTAATTTGCACTCATGTTACAACTTTACACTCGTGTTACATGAAAATACACTCGTTTTCAGCCAATCAGAAGCGCGTAATCTTTTTAATGTACATTCTTAATACGGTATGTGTGTGTGCTTTCACCAATACACGCATCTTTACACAATAATTCACATGATGAATGGATCGAATCAATCAAACACAAACCACTATAATAATTAGATTTTTTTCTGCACCATTTCAGATTCGAGCTTACCTGGAGAATAAATAATCTGGAGCTTCCCCCAAACTTAATCACATATCCTACACGCAGTCTGTAGTAACGTTTAGATTCAAGTCTTGACTTATTGACGAATGTTCCGTGTGTGCTACCAAGGTCATAGAGGTAGAAACCCTTTTCGCTATTTGAGGTATCGCTCGTCTTGTACTGAATCACCGCGTGGTATCTAGAAACCGAAGGATGTTCTAAGCTAACATCACAACTAGGAAGCCTTCCGAACACATGAAAAGGTTTACTAGTGAGATCAACATTTGTTATTATGCATCCATTCTTCAAAACTTCCAAGTTGTAGAATTCGTCTGGGATACCACTCCACGATGGTTCCTTGTAGGGCAATTCTGGCACCGATTCCTTCTTTTCTTTCGATAAAGGTTTCGATTTTGATTCTTCCTTTGTAAGTTTTGCCTGGTCTGGAGGTTTTGTCGGAAGATTAGGTGGAGGCATATCATAATTCTCACTATCGTTTTCGGTCGCCGTCTCCTCAACGTTCGCCATTTTAGAAATCAGAGGTACATGTTGTGTAAGGTGAATGGAATGTATACCAACGCAAATTATTTGTTCCAGTTTCTCCCCGTTTTGTCATCCCCGCGCGCACCTTTGGGAATTGGATAACAGTTTGTCTGTACACATCACTTATCTTACAAGGAGGAAAATATGAAAGGGAACCCCATGATTTATTTGTGACTTGAAATCGTTTTACACAAGTGTCTTAATTTTTTTTTTCTTTCCAATTTTTTTCTACCCATTGCTGACAGGCAGGACCATCTGTAATTCTTAAATCAATTCAGGTATCTACTCTATAAACAAACACTACAATATTTACAGGTATGTTCACCCCATCCTGTTTCCCATTATTATTACAATGGCTCTCAAGTTATCCTTCGTAATCCCAGGCATAATCTCAGGTGATCAACTGATGATTTTGATACTCTGTCAAGCTCACAGTTGCTAAGGATCCAGAGAGCTATCAACTTAGAGACATTACTTAAAACATCCTTATTTCAAATTGTTCCTTTATTCGTTTTTGTTTTTGCGATCTCGAATGGAATACAGACGATGGTAGATTTCTTCCTCCTCCCCCCCTCCCCCCTTCTATAAACTGCTCTTTATCCAGTTGTCCACATGTTGTGCTCAAAGTATCACCTTTCACTTTAACCCCTGACACTCTAACATCACTGTAGGTATTCTCCACACTTATCTCTTTACATTTCCTTAGATGTTGACAGGGAGAATTTGTTAAACATTCAAGAGCTCTTTTAGTTAGTGATCAGTTCTTTTATTCTTGTGACCTTACTATGCAGTTTGGGGGTGATATCATAAAGAGAATTTAGATGCTAGTCTCTCTTAGGAAAGAAATAACTCTACCCTTTCCCTACCTCCACCCTCAACTGCTCAGACATTTATCCTAAATTCCCACATGGAGAGTAGTCTTCCTCGCAGGAACTGTTTTGTATAGTCAAACAGCACTCTCTCTTCAAACAGACAACTACTACAAAGATGATTAATGAAAAACTCTGTCTGATAATGAACATGACATCAATATTTGAAATACATGATGGGACTTACTGG